GGCACGGACTAGGTAGTTCGGACTAGGCTTCCTAATCCGAACTACCGTTACTCCTCGTGGGTATGTCTACACTACCCCGCTAGCTCGAACTAGGGTGGTAGTGTAGACATACCCTAAGTGACTTGCCCGAAGGTCTTATAGGAAGCTTTTGGCAGAGCAGAGAAATTAATTTGGATTAACTGCTGGATCCTCCTCCTTTCCTCTTCACATATGGTGCCATAAGGAACTCCCTTTGAGTGCCCCCCCCCACTAGGCACCCATGCTCTGGAAGAGGCTTGGAATACCCCCCCCCTTCCCACTCCCAGGCCAATCAGGGCCTGGGGGTGGGGAAGCACGGGAAGCCTCCTTCCATGCTGCCAGGAGCACGTGGCCCTCTGAAGTGCTGTGGGCTTCTCGCAGGGCTGAGGCAGGGCGAAGGAAGCTTCACGCAGCTCCTCTGTCCCCAGGCCCTGATTGGCCTGGGAGCGGGGGAGTGTGCAGAGCCTTCTCCGCTCTCCTCCCTGCCCTGTGATTGAAGCGCTGCACGTTGCTCGCAGGCTGGGGCAGAGCGGAGAAGGCTTCAGGAGCTCCCCAGGCCCTAACTGGCAGCAGGGCCTCCGTGGGCCAGATCAACCGGCTCATGGAGGCCCTTTTGCCCACCCCGAGCTAGTCTTACTGAATGATTACCAGCTGTATGTGCCTGCGTGGGGAGAAAGAGAAAGATTTCTCTGTCAGGGATGGTGTAGACGGAGCTTGGTCCTGCCTTGAGGGCGGGGGGCTGGACTCGATGACCTCTTGAGGTCCCTTCCAGTCCTATGATTCTATGATTAATGTCTGGTTCGCAGTTGGTTTCAAGCGGAATGCCCTAAGAAATGGTTCTAGGGCCAGTTTTGTTCCACATCTTTATTAATGACCTGCATGAGGGGATGGATTGCACCCTCAGCAAGTTTGCCGATGACACTAAGCTAGGGGAAGAGGTAGATACACTGGAGGGCGGGGGAGGGTCCAGAGTGACCTGGACAGATTAGAGGATTGGGCCAAAAGAAATGTGATGAGGTTCAACAAGGGCCCTTGGGCTGGAAGAATCCCAAGCACTGTTACAGGCTGGGGGCCGACTGGCTAGGCAGCAGTTCAGCAGAAAAGGACCTGAGGGTTACAGAGGATGAGAAGCTGGATAGGAGTCCACAGATCACCCTTGTAGCAAAGAAGAAATGAGTAATCCTTTGGCATCTTAGGGTACGTCTACACTGCAACACTATTTCGGGATAGTGGCGTATCCCAGAATGGCTATCCCGCGTCTTCACAGCAAGCCCGTTACTTCAGGCTCGCTATTCTGATGTCCCTGTAAACCTCTTTTTATGAGGAGTTAGGGACGTTTCGGAATAGCACTTTATTTCAAAATTTGGTGCTTTGCAGACAAGGCCAAATGACGAAATAAGCTATTTTGCAATAGTATCAAAATAAGATACCCAATGAGCTTTCATGGGCAAAACCCACTTCTTCAGGTAAGATGATCTATAATAAAACAGAAAATACCATATCACCTCTATATAAATCCATGGTATGCCCATATCTTGAATACTGTTTGCAGAAATGGTCACTTCATCTGAAAAAAAGATATATTGGAAGTGGGAAAGGTTCAGAAAAGGGCTACAAAAATTATTAAAGGTATGGAATGGCTTCCATATAAGGAGAGATTGAGACTGGGACTTTTCAGCTTGGAAAAGGCATGGCGAAGGGGGGAATGATAGAGGTCTATCAAATCATGGCTGGTGTGGAGAAAGAGAATAAGGAAAAGTTATTTACTTGTTCCTATAACATAAGAACTAGGAGTCCAAATGAAATTAATAGGTAGCAGGATTAAAACAAACAAAGAGAAGTCACTCAGCGCACAGTCAACCTGTGGAACTCCCTGCAACAGGATGTTGTAAAGGCGTATCCCATTACTTTAACAGGGTTCAGAAAAGAGCTAGATCCGTGGTGTCCAACACACTAGCCACTAGCCACATGTGGCTATTTGGCCAGTTGAGTGTGGCTAGTTTGCTACAGTAGTAGCCTCTATAGTGGCCTAATACTGTTGTATTTGAGCCCTTCACAATCTTTAATGTACTTTCCTCAGCACCCCTCTTTGAGGTAGGAAATTCCTATTATCCTCATTTTAGAGCCAATGAATGAGAGACTCAGGGTATGTCTACACTACCACCCTAGTTTGAACTAGGAGGGTAATGTAGGCAACCGGAGTTGCAAATGAAGCCCGGGATTTGAATTTCCCAGGCTTCATTTGCATAAAGCCGGGCGCTGCCATTTTTAAATGTCCGCTAGTGCAGACTGCGTGCCACGCGGCTACACGTGGCACGGACTAGGTAGTTCGGACTAGGCTTCCTAATCCGAACTACCGTTACTCCTCGTGGGTATGTCTACACTACCCCGCTAGCTCGAACTAGGGTGGTAGTGTAGACATACCCTAAGTGACTTGCCCGAAGGTCTTATAGGAAGCTTTTGGCAGAGCAGAGAAATTAATTTGGATTAACTGCTGGATCCTCCTCCTTTCCTCTTCACATATGGTGCCATAAGGAACTCCCTTTGAGTGCCCCCCCCCACTAGGCACCCATGCTCTGGAAGAGGCTTGGAATACCCCCCCCCTTCCCACTCCCAGGCCAATCAGGGCCTGGGGGTGGGGAAGCACGGGAAGCCTCCTTCCATGCTGCCAGGAGCACGTGGCCCTCTGAAGTGCTGTGGGCTTCTCGCAGGGCTGAGGCAGGGCGAAGGAAGCTTCACGCAGCTCCTCTGTCCCCAGGCCCTGATTGGCCTGGGAGCGGGGGAGTGTGCAGAGCCTTCTCCGCTCTCCTCCCTGCCCTGTGATTGAAGCGCTGCACGTTGCTCGCAGGCTGGGGCAGAGCGGAGAAGGCTTCAGGAGCTCCCCAGGCCCTAACTGGCAGCAGGGCCTCCGTGGGCCAGATCAACCGGCTCATGGAGGCCCTTTTGCCCACCCCGAGCTAGTCTTACTGAATGATTACCAGCTGTATGTGCCTGCGTGGGGAGAAAGAGAAAGATTTCTCTGTCAGGGATGGTGTAGACGGAGCTTGGTCCTGCCTTGAGGGCGGGGGGCTGGACTCGATGACCTCTTGAGGTCCCTTCCAGTCCTATGATTCTATGATTTAGTACAATCCAAGCTGCAAGTTGAAGCTAAACATCCTGGAAATGTGACCCTTGAAACAATTCCCCAAGGGTTGTGACGGAGTCTCCATAACACGATTTTTAAATCAAGACTTGGGTGTTTCTGATTTGCTCTAGGATCTGCTCTGGCCTGTGCTCAGAAGGTCAGACTAGATGAACACAGTGGTCCCTTCTGGGACTGGAATCTAGGAATCTGCAGAATAGCAGGCCTAACAGAGACAGTTCCAGGAACAGATGTTCCAGAGCCACAATCAACGCTTCGGTAGGAGGGAAGGGCAGTGGCTGCTGCTCTCTGAAGTAAAAGAGAACGTATTTGGCCCCGAATGAGGACACAGGCACTCACTATGAGGCCGTCTCAGCTGCCAATCTGGGCCAGTTGATCTCCAAGCCGTGCCAGCAGGTCAGAATCTTGGACGGGGGAGAACTTTACTAGTGACCTTGGGAGGCTGCAGACGTGTGCACCAGCACTGGCTGTGTAGGCTGGCGGCGGTTACACCCCACAGAGAAGGCTGGATGGAAGCTGAAACACTGGCTGCAGCTCAGGTCTGGAGAACACACATGGGATGGCTGAGGGAACCATGGGGGAAAAAATCTGAAGCGACTCAGACTGCAAAATAGATCTAAAAATGATGCTAGACTCATTGAAGGATCCACTGTCCTCTAACAAATCGTGAGGAAACGGGGCAGACACAAACATTCTGTCTCACGGTGGAAAGCGACTTTCTGGCTGCTGTGTAGGTTTGTTGGGGGACATCTGAAAAGGGCATTGGCCACTGTCGGCCGACAGGACACTAGGCTAGATGGACATTTGGTCTGATCCAGGCTGGCCGCTCTTCTGACATTCACCCCGGCTCAGGAGAGAAGTCCCAGCCTCTCCATTATGGAATATATGAAAACTTTGTTCCATCTGGGAATATGGTGGCACCAAGTCGGTACTGTGGAAGCCCCAAAGCCTGGAGTCTCTGTTGGGGCTAGTGCACCTGTACAAATCCAAGGAAGAATCCAAATTTCTGTATGAAATCTCTTCCTCTGTTTCAGAGTAAAGACTTGATGGGGTATTCCTGTCCTCAGTGATCAGGGCTGTCCTTAGCTGGGCCTGGGTGCCCCAGGTGCAGTGCTGGGGGCAACCCCACAGCCTCTTCTCCGCCCCTTCCCCTGAGTGTCACGAGTCTGGGGGTTGCCAGGGGGCCTGGCACAGGGGGGCAGCAGCAGCAGTCCCCCCATGCTCAGCACGTCAGCGAGAGTGACCCAGGAGCCTGCTCCACTCCGATGCCCTCTCCCAGCCAGCAGTAGGACCGGGCGCTCCACACCTCGGACTGGCACCGGGGCGCTCCACTTGCCACTGTGGCGGTGGAGTGCAGTGGGCTGGGAGTTGGGCAAGAGAGCAGAGCTGGTGGCTCTAGCTCCTGCTGCCATGGTGAGTGGGGGGGGGCCTGACCCATACCAAGCCTCCCAGTAATCCACAGGACAGCCCTGAACTGCCCCATGTCTGAAGTATCACCGTCAATTCGGCTGATTCCCATTCGTGCTGATGTAAGAACAGTAAGCGGTCTTGGCCAGATGTCTCCCTCGGGAGTGAGCGTTCTGGGAGTCACCTGGTGGGTTGTTCACATGAAGCCTGCTGAATCAGGGATGTGTTTCTTATGCTTCAGCCTCAGGCTCATGTTTGGAGTCAGGATGAAATTCAAGGGACCTTTAAATGGGTCCACATGGTGCTGTGGCTTGATGCTGGCTCTTTGCACAGTATGAATGTTATTCGGCACAATAAGATTGGTAGTAGCTGTGCCATCTCGCGCGTGTCACCAAAGTGCAGCCCTCAGCTGCTTCGCTCTCTCTGCTTCCAGGGAGCCGCTCTGAAGTACCTGCCTTCGATCCTGGAAGACGTGTTTGGGATCTTTGACTCCTCTGTGCTGGGGTAAGGACACTTTTCTCTTCTTTCACCCAGAGTACCAGGCTAGGTCGCTCAGGCTCTGAGGTGAGGCCTGTGTGTCTGTAGACGGCATTCTATAGGCCACTCCGCTTCAACTTCCAGTCGTCCTGCAGTGACGTCTGGGGCAGTGAGAGTCCAGAGGGGACCACGTCCCGATGTAATTAGAACAGCATACATCATTCTGAAACGGGGCAAAGGAAATAAGGTGGCAGTGGAGGCAGACAATTCTCCCAGAAAGGGCCCGCCTTGTGCACTTTCTGCTGGGTGGGGAATGAAAACCTGTATCCGTTCTGTGGGACACAGTAACACTAGGACACACAATCTTTCGAAAGGACAGGCCATGTCGTGGGCTGGGGGAGTGGCACTATACGTGAAAGAATCAAATGAAGTGAAAATCTTAGATGAACCAAATGTATTCCATGGAGCCTCTATGGACAGTAATTCCATGCTCCGATAAGAAGAATATCGCTGTAGGGATAGACTGTTCCGCACCCGGCTAGGATGGTGCTAGTGACTGTGAAATGTTCAGGGAGACTAGAGGGGCAATGAAAATAAACAGCTCAGTAATAATGGGGAATTTCAGCTGTCCCCATATTGATTGGGTCCATGTCACCTCAGGATGGGATGCAGAGAGACAGTTTCTTGACACCTTAACTGACTGCTTCTTGGAGCAGCTGGATCAGGAACCCACAAGGGGAGAGGCAATTCTCCAACTGTATTACCACGTGGTAATAATGATCATAATGTAATTCAATGTAACATCCCTGTGATGGGGAAGACACCACAGCAGCTCCACTCTGTGGCGTTTTGTTTCAGGAAGGGGCACTAACTAACCTCATTTTAGTACAAACAGAAATTAAAGGGTACCGTGCCAAAAGTAAGATCCCTGCAAGCTGAATGGAAACTTTTCAAAGACACCATGATAGAGACTCAAATGTATGCCCCAAATGAAGAAAATGTAATAAGGGAACTGAAATAGTGCCACTGTAGCTGAACAAAGTAAAAGAAGCAGTGAGACACAAAGGCATACTTTACAAAGTGGAAATTACATTTGAGTGAGGAAAATAGAAAGGAGCATAAACTCTGGCAAACAAAGTGTAAAAAATATAGTTAGGAAGGCCAGAAAGAATTTGAAGCGCACACAGACAAAAACTCAAAAAGTAAGTCCATCAGAAGCAGGAAGCTGCTGAACAACCAGTGGGGCCATTGGATAATCAAGATGCTAAAGGAGTGCTCAAGGATGGTAAGGCCATTGTGGAAAAATTAAATGAATTCTTTGTATCGATCTTCATGGCTGAGGACATGAGGGAGATTCCCAAACCCGAGCCATTCATTTTATGTGACAGATCTGAGGAATTGTCTCAGATTGAGGAATCATTAAAAGAGGTTTTGCAACAAATTGATTAACTAGTAACAAGTCACTAGGACCAGATGACATTCACCCAAGAGTTCTGAAGGAACTCAAAGTGCAGAATTATTAACAGTGGTTTTAACCTGTCCTTTAAATAAGCTTCTGTACCAGATACCTAGAGAATGTGGTGCCATTTTCTAAAAGGGCTCCAGAGATGATCCCAACAATTACAAGCCAGTAAGCCGGATTTCAGTACCAGGCAAACCAATTGGAGCTATAGTAAAAAACAAAATGGTCAGATACAGAGATAAACATAATTTGTTGGGGAAGAGTCAACATGGTTTCTGTAAAGTGAAATCATGACTCACCAATCTCTTAGAATTCGTTGAGGGGGGTCAACAAGTATGTGAAGAAGGGGAATCTAGTAGATCAAGTGTGTTTAGATTTTCAGAAAGCCATTGACAAGGTCCCTTACCAAAGACTCTTAAGCAAATTAAACTCTCATGAGAGAAAAAGGAAGGCCCTCTTATGGATCAGTAACTGGTTAAAAGAGAGGAAATGGAGAATAGGAGTAAATGGTCAGTTTTCAGAATGGAGACTGATAAATAGTGGTATCTGGATTAGGGCCAGGACTATTTAACATGTTCGTAAATGATCGGGGGCGGGGGGTAAACAGTGTGATGGCAAAATTTGCAAATGTTATGAAACTGCTCGAAATCGTTAAGACCCCAGTAACTGTGAAGAGTTACAAAGGGGTCTCTCAAAATTGGGTGACAGAGTTAACAAAATGACAGATCACATGCATTATTGAAAAATGCAAAGTAATCACATAGGAAAATATAATCCCAACTATACATATACAATAATGGGGTCTAAATTAGCTGTTACTGCTCAAGAAAGAGAACTTCGAGTCATTGTGGATAGTTCTGTCAATATCCACGCAGTGTGCAGCAGCAGTCAAACAAGCAAACAGAATATTGGGAATCATTGAAAAAGGGACAGAGAATATAGAACCAGGGTACGTTCACATCTTGAATCCTGTGTGCAGATCTGGTCACTCCATCTCAAAAATATATTGGAATTGGAAAAGGCTCAGCAAAGGGTAACAGGAATGATTCAAGATACATAGTGGCTGCCTTATGAGGAGAGATGAGTAAAGCAGAGATTTTTCAGCTTGGAAAAGAGACAACTAAGGGGGGATAGGATAGAGGTCTATAAAATCCTGACTGGCGTGGAGAAAGTGAATAAGGACATATTATTTACCCCTTATATCTCACAAAAATGGGCTCACCTATTAATTTAATAGGGGAAGTATTTTTCAGAGAATGCAAAGTCTTCTGGGGAACTCCTCGCCAGAGGAGGTTGTGAAGGCCAAGATTATAACAGGGTCAAAAAAGAGCTGGATACATTCCTGGAGGACAGGTCCATCAGTGGCTATTGGCCAGGCTGGGCAGTAATGATGTCCCTGGCCTCTGTCAGAAGCTGGGAATTGGCGACGGGAGGGACCGCTGGATGATTCCCAGTTCTGTTCATTCCCTCTGGGCACCGGGCACTGGGCACTGTCAGCCGACTGGGCTAGATGGACCTTTGGTCTGTGCCAGTCTGGCTGTTCTTTTGCAGATGGGGAATGCGATATGCAAGAGCTGTGGTAAGAGGGTGAGCCTTAGTTCAAAAAAGTGATTGGTTAAAAAGGAGACTCTATAGATTTAAAATGAGCTTAAGTGGTACATCAAAATGTTCCCAGGGCCCACTCGGCACACTGTCCCTGGGAGCGCTCTGTCTTGCATAGCATCGTCCGTTTAAAAGTTCCACAGGCCAGATGCTGCCATCGGGAATACCTAAGCAGCTGTCACTGACTGGAACTCGGAATACGGTCAAGTGGCTGATACGCAAGTAGGAAGAACAGCAGTAGAATAGCAGCAGAAAGGGACTTTCATCACTAAAGTGAGCAGGCCAGACTCGGAGTACTTGAAAGGCGCAGAGCTCTTGGACAAGAAGCACCTTTTCTTTTTCAGAGTATAACTGTGATTAAAAGCAAAATAGCTCAAATGTCAGGTGAGTCAGGAATCCGTCTCAGTTCTAGCCCTTGCCTGTCTCACAATGCTGCTCCTCATGGCAGACCGGAAGAGTGACCAGTTTAGAAAGGTACAAATGCAAAGGGGGACTTGGAAAGGGAAGCTGGGTTGCAGCCTTCTTTCTACGGGGTGTGACCAACATGCATGAAAATATCTGCCACCTGCCAGAGGCCACCGACACACACCCTTGCTTCCCTGACCCGACCTACCTGCCAGCCATCAGGCCCAGATTTGTACGCCAAGCATGCCTACCCCCAGGTTACCCACATGCCTAATTTACACGAGAGGATCTCTCATCCATTTTGAATTCTTCCTCCAAAGAGACAGCTGCTAGCACAGCAACTGGTCAGAGCATGGAAGCAACTGGGTGCCTTGGGCTGGATGACACCCCCAGTGAGGAGAAGATGATCACTGGGCTCTTCCCTCTCTCATCCCCATCCTAGAGACTTTACATATCACTTAACCGAGCCCCCTTTCATCTTGGCTTTAGATGTTTGCTGCGGGATTTCATTGGGAACCTGCCTCCTCTGCGCCTTCTCAAGCAGAAGCTGCAGTCCCTCACGGACATAGTTAACAGCAGTATCTTCCAGTCCTATGGTAAGTCTGGATCCCCCACTGAACTGGGTCAGTTTCAACTTTTTAATGGGAAGGTCATAGAATCCTAGAACACTAGAACTGGAAAGGACCTCGAGAGGTCATTGAGTCCAGCCCCTGCCCACATGGCAGGACCACGTACTGTCTAGATTAGTCGTCCCCAACCTTTTTGTGGCCAATACCACATTCATGTTTTCAGAAGAGTGTGGCGGGCGCCAACAGAAAAAGGCATCAAATGTGAAATTGAAGGCTATTTTCATATTAAATGTGAATTGGGTACATTTGATAGAAACTTAATTTAGTTGGATACTTTTTATTTTAATTATCTTGTAATTCATTTTTAAACAAAATTCTGCATTAATAAAAAGGGGGGGTGTCCAAATGTTGAGCAAAAAAAGCACCCTCCCCCCCAAAAAAAAAATCATGGCACCTTTAAATCTCACACTCCCTTCCACATGGCAGGGGAAGAATGTCCCAAGTGGCTTTCCAGCTGAGAAACTGAAAATACCAGACATTTTACTGGGGTTGGGGGGGTCAGGCCAGGGGCTTGGATTACCCCTCGGGGAGGAGATTGGGGTGCAGGGTCTGGGAGGAGAGTTCTGTGGGTGAAGATACCGGAGTGGGAGTAGCTGGGGACCGGACACTTAACCAGTGAGACGCGCTGCTCTCCTGTTTCTCCCACAGGACCTGCCTGGCCATGTGCTTGGGGATTGGTAGGTTCCCGCAGCTGTCATTGTCCAGGTCCGGTCATCCAGGTCCAGCCAATGGGCTTGTGCGGGGGGGCGAAGTGGCCATGAGGGACCCTCCCCTGCCAGCTCGCAGCTCCTGCACCACAAAGGGCCCCACCACGGCTGTTTTATGTGAAGGGGGTGGGAGGCTGTTGCTGCCTCAGTCGGACCCGACCAGCGCGGGGTTTGCTCCGGCTATTGAAGCGCCTGCGTGGGCTGCCTGCTGAGGTGGGGGCGGGGCTCAAGCCTCCAAAGCGCCGCGTCGGGCTCCCTCGCGGGCCCTAGGCTGCCGACCCTGCTCCAAGCTGGGGTCAATGTGAGTAGTTTTAAAACGCCGGCGCAGGCGCACGTAAATGCCCCCGCGGGCACCGTGTTGGGGACTGCAGGTCTAGATTATCCCCGATAGATGTCTGTTCAACCTGCTCTTAATCTCCAGTCATGGAGATTCCACGACCTCTCCAGGCAATCTATTCCAGTATTTAAACCCATTGCTTCTTGTCCTATCGCCAGACATTAAGGAGAATAATTTATCTCCCTCCTCCTTGTAACACCCTTTTAGGTACTTGAAAACTGCCATCCTGACCCTGCTCAGTCGTCTCTGTTCTAAACTAAACAAGTCCAGTTTTTTCAGTCTTCCCTCATAGCTCATCATTTCTAGACCTTTAATCATTCTTGTTCCTCTTCTCTGGACCTTCCCCTTTTGAAGCAAAAGGATCTTGCACAAAAAGGGGGGGGTTTGCATAAAAAGGAAACGTCCATGCTGCTTGTTTTTGCACAAAAACCTCTTGCGCAAAAACGGATTGGAAGAGATTATGCAAATGAAGTGCGAGAAAATGCTAATCTGTGCTTCATTTGCATTGCCTCTTCCAGCAAAACCCGCAGTGTAGATGTAGCCCAACTGAGGCCTGATCAGCGCAGAGTAAGAGGGCAAGAATGACTTCTTGTGTCTTGCTCGCAACACTTCTGTTAATGCAACCCAGATTCATGTGGGCTTTTTTTGCAACAGCGTCACACTGTTGATTCATATTTAGCTTGCGATCCCCTATGACCCTGTCAAGGCCAAATCCCCACTCTGGCACAATGAATGCAGAAGTGGGGGGGCTTGAAAAAGTACCCCAAAACCTTATATTTCCAGGCTTTGGTATAAAACTTCCCCCCCAAAAAATCTTAAAAACCTAGATTTTGGGGATAAAAATCCACTGCCACATAAGAACGGCTGTACTGGGTCAGACCAAAGGTCCATCTAGCCCAGTATCCTGTCTACTGACAGTGGCCAGCACCAGCTACTCCGGAGGGGATGGACCGAAGACAATGATCAAGCGATTTGTCTCCTGCCATCCCTCTCCAGCCTCTGACAAACAGAGGCCAAGGACACCATTCCTACCCCCCTGGCTAACAGCCTTTTATGGCCCTAACCTCCATGAATTTATCTAGCTTCTCTTTAAACTCTGTTACAGTCCTAGCCTTCACAGCCTCCTCTGGCAAGGAGTTCCACAGGTTGACTATGCGCTGTGTGAAGAACTTTCTTTTATTAGTTTTAAATCTGCTCCCCATTAATTTAATTTGGTGTCTTCTAGTCCTTATATTATGGGAACTAATGAAGAACTTTTCTTTCTTAACCCTCTCCACACCACTCATGCTTTTATAGACCTCTATCATATCCCCGCTCAGTCTCCTCTTTTCTAAACTGAAAAGTCCCAGTCGCTTTAGCTTCTCCTCATATGGGACCCGTTCCAAACCACTGATCATTTTAGTTGCCCTTTTCTGAACCCTTTCCAAGGCCAAAAGATTTTTTTTGAGGTGAGGAGACCACATCTGTACACAGTACTCAACATGTGGGCGTACCATAGTTTTATACAGGGGCAGTAAGATATTGTGTCTTATTTTCTATCCCTTTCTTAATAATTCCTAACATCCTATTTGCCTTTTTGACCGCCGCTGCACTCTGTGTGGAAGTTTTCAGAGAACTGTCCACGATAACTCCAAGATCTTTTTCCTGATTTGTCGTAGCCAAATTAGCCCCCATCATACTGTACGTACCCACATTCAATTTCATTTGCCATTTTGTGTCCAATCACTTAGTTTTGTGAGATCTTTTTGGAGTTCTTCACAGTCTGCTTCTGTCTTGACTATCTTGATCAGTTTAGTATCATCTGCAGACTTTACTACCTCACTGCTTGCCCCTTTCTCTAGATCATTTATGAATATGTTGAATAGGATAGGTCCTAGAACTGACCCTTGGGGAGCACCACTAGTTAGGCTTTTTGGCCACACCAGGCTCCCACCGGCCAACACCGTCTTTAATGGCTGCACCTGACAGACCATTTATTTCTACCCTTTGTTTCCTGTCTTTTAACCAATTCTCAATCCAAGAAAGGACCTTCCCTCTTATCCCATGACAATGTAATTTAAGAGCCTTTGGTGAGGGACCTTGTCAAAGGCTTTCTGAAAATCCAAGTATACTATATCTACTGGATCCCCCTTGTCTGCATGTTTGTTAACCCCTTCAAAGAACTCTAATAGATTAGTAAGACATGATTTCCCTTTACAGAAACCATGTTGACTTTTGTCCAACTAATTATGATGTTCTACGTGCCTAACAATTTTATTCTTAACTATTGTTTCGCCTAATTTGCCCAGTACCGACGTCAGACTTACCAGTCTGTAATTGCCGGGATCACCTCTAGAGCCCTTTTAAAATATCGGTGTCGCGTTAGCTATCTTCCAGTCAGTAGGTACGGAAGACAATTTAAAGGCTAGGTTACAAACCCCAGCTACAATTTAAAGGCTAGGTTACAAACCACAGTTAACAGTTCTGCAATTTCCCATTTGAGTTATTTTTAGAACCCTTGGGTGAATGCCGTCCGGTCCCGGTGATTTGTTCACGTTAAGTTTTTCTATTTGTTTCAAAACCTCCTCTAATGACACTTCAATCCAGGACAGCTCCTCAGATTCATCTCGCACAAAGGACGGTGCAGGTTTGGGAATCTCCCCAACATCCTCAACCATGAAGACTGATGCAAAGAAATCAATTAGCTTCTCCGCAATGCCTTTATCATCCTTGATTGCTCCTTTTGTATCTCGATTGTCTAAGGGACCTACTGGTTTTTTGCAGGCTTCCTGCTTCTAATGTACTTAAAAAACATTTTCTGTTGTTTTTTGAGTTTTTGGCTAGCTGTTCCTCAATCTTTTTTTGCTTTTCTTATTACACTTTTACACTTAATTTGACAGTTTATGTTCCTTTCTATTTATCTCACTGGGATTGGACTTCCATTTCTTGAAAGATACCTTTTTGTCCCTCACTGCTTCTTTTACATGGTGGTTAAACCACGGTGACCCTTTTTTAGGTCTCTTGCTATGTTTTTAAATTTGGGGTATACATTTAAGTTGGGCCTCTATTATGGTGTCTTTAAAAAGTTTCCATGCAGCTTGCAGGGATTTGGCTCTTGTCACTGTGCCTTTTAATTTCTGTTTAACTAACCTCCTCATTTTTGTGTAATTCCACTTTTTGAAATTAAATGCCAGGGTGCTGGACTGCTGAGGTGTTCTTCTCATCACTGGCATGTTCAATGTTATTCTATTATGGTCACTATTCCCAAGCGGTCCTGTAATAGTTACCTCCTGGACCTGATCCTGTGCTCCACTCAGGACTTAACTCACCATCCAAGTAATGGTAAGAAAACCAGGGAAGAGATCACTTGGGAAATCTTAGCTCTAAAGTAAAACCAGGACACAAAAATTAACCCATATCAGGTTAATAAAAAAAGAAAAAATTATCCCCACAATACTCCTGTTACAAGCAAAATGACTAGATAGAAAAGTCACCAATTAATATACTCATGGGGGACCGCCATGGGCCAAAAGCTTAGTTACAAAGGAGAGGAAAACCCATTTTTAAATGCAGACATCGGATTCCCATTTCCCAAAAAGTGTGTGCGTGCGTGCGTGCGTGCCTTCCTTCCTTCCTACCTACCGGGAGCACTTTGCATTTGTCCTTATTAAACGTCACCTATTGACCTCAGTCCATTTCTCCAGTTTGTCCAGATTAGTTTGAATTGTGAACCTGACACATAGTGGGACTGTGTTCCCTGTTTGCTTTGTTGTGCTGTCGGTGATTCCTCCTGTGCTGTGCGCGTGTGTGTGTGTGTACGTGCGCACAGGGGCTGGGATCTCTGGAGGAGAACTTCAGAGGGAGGCATGGAGGAAAGGGCCAAGGCCAGACACACACATGACCTTAGGGGGAAGGTGCAGTCAGTGATAGTGAGAACACCTGGG